AATTATTGCATTTCGTTTTTTTATGTAGATTTTGCACAGCGTCCCAACATTTTTTAAAAACGAGGTTGCAGAAATTTCTTGAAATTGAGGGGAAATCCACTTCAAACATTTTTCACCAAAACAGTTGTCACTGTTGGAAGATTTTTATTCAATTCCTGATTTCATGTAAATTGTGAAATTCAGGATTTTTTTCGTCACTTTCTATCCCAGTGACAACGATGACCAGCACAAGTAAGAAAAAAAGTTGCTTGGCTTTACACGCACTTTGATTTCTATTAGAACCATTAGTCGCATGACAAGTCGCCCCTCATGTTTTTCAATGGATACCATTCATATCTGTATGACTTCAAGTTGCAGAGACATCAAAGTAGATCCTGCACTACTTTGGTCTGACTTTCATGTGACTTGAGGGCCATAGACTTCAATGTAAACCCTCCAAAGTTGCATGAAAGTCACGCCTGAATGTTGTACATGCGACTTGTGTGCGACTTTGTACAGCAGAAACAATTATCCTAGGTTAAAGCCAAAGTTGCATTTATCCAAAGTTGTGTCAAGTCACACCGTAAAGTTGCAATGAAAATCGCAAGATTTTGAAGTCGCAGAGGTGTAAAAGGACCCTAATGCAGCAACCAGAATGTCTGTACACACAAGAGAGCTCTGGTGACCTGACATTTAGAACATTTTTGAAACCTGAAGAGAAGATGGGGTAAATTCAGAATATGACACAACTATAAATAGACTAAATGAATACTATTATATTCTCTCCAAGGCTAGGTTCACACCTATGCAAGTTGCATTTGAGCCGTTTCTGCATTGCGTTTTGTATTTTTGCACTTGCGTTTTTGCCACATTTTTTACGTTTTGCAGTTTTGTTTTGTTTTTCATTTTTTTTTTATTTTTCTTGTTGCTAGGTGTAGCAATTGTGCGCACAGATATGGACGGACAACCATTTTGCCAAGATCCACCATTTTGTGTCATTCTCACTCTGGTCTGTGTGTATGCTGAGTTCAGGCGTGCACAGGGCACAGCTGGATACACTTCATGGTTGTAAACCCAATTAGCTGGTTCCATGAGGTCTGTCAGACTCTTGCTCTGGCCTGATCGTAAAGCTATAAATCCATCAGTCACTGGACATGAAAAACATTCCGGAGTAACAGTAAAACGTACATTCCACTGAAATCACTTTTTCATACAAATCCATAACTCCCGACAGGAACAAAGTACAATAAAACAGAGCATATATTCAGGTAGGACATTTTAATACAAGTCACCTGATACCTTACACCTCTAGATAACGTCTACCCGAGAGCAGACGTTCAGCAGATGATTCTGCATATTATCCTACCAGGATGCTACATGTACGTATGGAAGGTTATTAACCATGGTATAAACTTGTGAGGGATTTGGTCCTAGTCTGGGTCTCCGCCTAAACCCCCTCCCCAAATGAGGAGATTGTTCCTTGGCTTCAGTAGACACCCCTTGCTGGGTCACTAGAAAACAGGCTGTGAGGCCTGCAGATGAAGATGAAGAGATTCTCCCTTTTAACATCAGGAACCAACTTTGGGAGAAAAGGTACCCTTTTGTTCAGGACACTTGAATCTGTTTAAACCAAGGACTTCGGCAAGTATTCTACCTCCCTAAACGTCTTTCTGTTATCTCTCTGTTGTGTTATTGCTCTCTGTATCTATATATATATATATTGGCTACATATTTTTCTGTAAATATTTTTATTGCACCCTTTTGACCTTTTTAGTAATAAATCCTATTTTCTGAAAAGTGTTGAACTGTTTCTAAAGCTCTTTAATGCAAACTAAGAATCCCTGTCTCTGAAGAGTGCTACTGTGTGTTTTAAAACCTCTGTATACATCTGCCTGTGGTGACAGTGTGTATACAGACGCTTATTCAAACATCAAAGTGTTACTGCTAAGATTTGTGAGTTTCCTCCTTCTCTGTAAAAAGGAGGTGGTGGCAGTATGAAGGGTTAATTACGTAATTACCCTGAACCAGTAAAAATTGCTCTCAGGCTGCGGGCACATAGATTGTGGTCCAGTGAGCTGGAAAATCTTTGTGCAGGGCGCAGATGAGCATGGCATTGTGGCAGCGCGGGTTTTAGATTGGCTAGTCCTTCGGTCACAAGTTGGTGAGAAGGACTGAGGTCTGACGCTGTGCCCGTCACACTAGGCAGATTTAAACCGTGGCAAAAATGCATCAAAAACGCACCGGGTGAAAACGCTCCAGAAAACGCTTGTGTGAAACTATGGTAAGGCTAGGTTCACACCTATGCAGTTTGCGTTTGATCCATTTCTGCAGTGTGTTTTGCGTTTTTGATGTGTTTTTGATGCTTTTTGCTTTTTTTTCTTGCTGCTAGGCAGATTTAAAATGCAAAACGCACCAAAAATGCATCAAACCGCAATACATGCTTTTCTGAAGCAATCCCAATGAAGTCTATAGAACCAAAAATGCTACTTTTTACATTCAAAAAAGTACCTGACCCTTTCCAAAAAACGCACCGGGTGAAAAAGTGGAGATGTAAACATGTCCCATAGGAAATCATGTTAAATGGACTGTACTGCGTTTCTGAAAAACGCTGCAGAAAACGCTTAGGTGTGAAACTATGGTGAGGCTAGGTTCACACCTATGCAGTTTGCGTTTGATCCGTTTCTGCAGTGCGTTTTGCGTTGCATTTTGGCACATGCGGTTTTGACCTGTTTTTTATGCATTTTGCAGGGTTTTTTCCTTGTTGCTAGGCAGATTTAAAATGCAAAACGCATCAAAAATTAAGCAAAAATGCATCAAAAATGCAATACATGCTTTTCTGCAGCAATCCCATTGAAGTCTATTGAACCAAAAATGCAACTTTTTACATTCAAAAAAGTCCCTGACCCTTTCCAAAAAACGCACTGGGTGAAAACGCGAAGATCTAAACGTGTTTCATAGGAAATCAGGTTAAACGGACTGTGCACTTCCACCTGGCAGTACTAGGGTCGTTGGTTCAAATCCCAACCATGGCACCACCTGCCTGGAGTTTGCATGTTCTCCCTGTGCCTGTGTGGGTTTCCTCCGGGTACTCCTGTTTCCTCCCACACTCCAAAGACATGCTGCAAGGTTAATTGGCTTAAGTCTAAATTGGCCCTTGTATGTGTATGTATGAATGTGAATTAGGGACCTTAGATTGTACGCCCCTTGAGGGTTAGGGACTGATGTGAATGTACAATATATAAGTAAAGAGGCGCTGCATAAATTGACAGCACTATATAAGTACCTGAAATAAATAAATACAGTGTTTCTGCAAAAACACTGCAGAAAATGCTTAGATGTGAAACTATGGTAAGGCTAGGTTCACACCTATGCAGTTTGCGTTTGATCCATTTCTGCAGTGCATTTTGCGTTTTTGACATGTTTTTGATGCGTTTGCATTTTTTTTCTTGTTGCTAGGCAGATTTAAAATGCAATACGCATCAAAAATGCACTACATGCTTTTCTGCAGCAATCCCATTGAAGTCTATAGAATCAAAAACACAACTTTTTGAGTTCAAAAAAGTCCCTGACCCTTTCCAAAAAACGCACCGGGTGAAAAGGTGGAGATGTGTAAACATGTCCCATAGGAAATCAGGTTAAATGGATTGTAGTGCATTTCTGCAAAAGGCTGCAGAAAACACTTAGGTGTGAATCTAGGGTGAAAGGTATTTATTTAGACAAAGCCTCACAAGGAAAATGTGAGAACATATATTTTCTGTGATATAAAATGTTGAATATCATCTTGTGAATACGGCATACTAATGGAGGAAATATTCAGAGACAAGATAATGAGAAATATACCAGAGGTGAATGAAGTGCAGATTCCCTGACCAAATTAAGGAGCATCAGTATGCTAAAAAACAAAAGTAGAATGCCTTGCCTCCCCACTGCAGATAAACGTGCTGCATACTGTTTGAATAAACCATAGTGTAAATCCTTTTTTTCGCTTCCTACGAGCACTCATATAATTGCACAGCTTTGTCTGCTCTGCGTCAGTGAGCGGCTTGACAACGGGGCTGAGTCATGAAGCCACCAGTGTGCTACCTGTTGTCAAGGGTGAAGAGAGCCTTCTCCCCCACTGGGCCTCAGCAAGCCTCTCACTGGCACACTGCAGACAGATCTGTGTCATCAAGTGACTGCTCTGAAGAAGTGAATAAAAACCAGTACCTACACAGTTATTTATTGCAAAGAGTATGCAGTATGTTTATCAGCCATGGGAAGCAAAGCTTAAAGTGATACTAAACCCCGGACCCTGCATGCACTATATCTGGAATCCCCGGGCCCTGCATTCACTATATCTGGTGTCCCCGAACCCTGCATTCACTATATCTCATCTTCCCAGACCCTGCATCCACTATATCTGGTCTCCCGGGCCCTGCCCCGGGCCTAGCATCCACTATATCTGGTCTCCCCGGACCCTGCATTCACTATATCTGTTCTCCCCGTCTCCCCCGTCCCTGCATTACCCTGCATCCACTATATCTGGTCTCCCCGGACCCTGCATGCACTATATCTGGTCTCCCCGGACCCTGCATGCACTATATCTGGTCTCCGGACCCCGGGCCCTGCATTCACTATATCTGGTGTCTCCAAGCCCTGCATTCACTATATCTGGTCTCCCCAGACCCTGCATCCACCATATCTGGTCTCCCGGACCCTGCATTCACTATATCTGGTCTCTGCATTTCCGGACCCTGCATGCACTATATCTGGTCTCCCCGGGCCCTGCATTCACTATATATCTGGTGTCTCCAAGCCCAGCATTCACTATATCTGGTCTCCCCGGGCCCTGCATGCACTATATCTGGTGTCTCCGGACCCTGCATTCACTATATCTGGTCTCCCGGACCCTGCATTTACTATATCTGGTGTCTCCCAGACCCTGCATCCACTATAGCAAGGCTCCCCGGGCCCTGCATTCACTATATCTGGTGTCTCCAAGCCCTGCATTCACTATATCTGGTCTCCCCAGATCCCCTGTCTCCCCGGACCCTGCATTCACTATATCTGGTCTCCCCGGACCCTGCATTCACTATATCTGGTCTCCCCGGACCTGCTGGTGTCTCCCCACCCTGCATTCACTATCTATCTGGTCTCCCCGGTACCCTGCATGCACTATATCTGGTCTCCCCGGGCCCTGCATTCACTATATCTGGTGTCTCCAAGCCCTGCATTCACTATATCTGGTCTCCCCAGACCCTGCATCCACCATATCTGGTCTCCCCGGACCCTGCATTCACTATATCTGGTCTCTCCGGACCCTGCATGCACTATATCTGGTCTCCCCGGGCCCTGCATTCACTATATCTGGTGTCTCCGGACCCTGCATTCACTATATCTGATCTCCCTGGACCCTGCATTTACTATATCTGGTGTCCCCAGACCCTGCATCCACTATATCTGGTCTCCCCGGGCCCTGCATTCACTATATCTGGTGTCTCCAAGCCCTGCATTCACTATATCTGGTCTCCCCAGACCCTGCATCCACTATATCTGGTCTCCCGGACCCTGGATGCACTATATCTGTTCTCCCCGAGCCCTGCATCCACTATATCTGGTGTCTCCAAGCCCTGCATTCACTATATCTGGTCTCCCCAGACCCTGCATCCACTATATCTGGTCTCCCCGGAACCTGGATGCACTATATCTGTTCTCCCCGGGCCCTGCATCCACTATATCTGGTGTCTCCAAGCCCTGCATTCACTATATCTGGTCTCCCCAGACCCTGCATCCACTATATCTGGTCTCCCCGGACCCTGCATGCACTATATCTGGTCTCCCCGGGCCCTGCATCCACTATATCTGGTGTCTCCAAGCCCTGCATTCACTGTATCTGGTCTCTCCCCGGACCCTGCATCCACTATATCTGGTCTCCCCGGACCCTGCATGCACTATATCTGGTCTCCCCTGGACCCTGCTGCACATTCACTATATCTGGTCTCCCCGGACCCTGCATTCACTATATCTGGTCTGACCTGCATGCACTATATCTTCCCCGGACCCTGCATGCACTATATCTGGTCTCCCCAGCCCTGACCCTGCATCTCACATGCACTATATCTGGTCTCCCCGGACCCTGCATTCACTGTATCTGGTCTCCCCGGACCCTGCATTCACTATATCTGGTCTCTCCGGACCCTGCATGCACTATATCTGGTGTCTCCCCGGGCCCTGCATTCACTATATCTGGTGTCTCCAAGCCCTGCATTCACTATATCTGGTCTCCCCGGGCCCTGCATTCACTATATCTGGTGTCTCCAAGCCCTGCATCCACTATATCTGGTCTCCCACAGTACACACAACATGGAAATGCAATGATTTTAGTAAAAATAAAATTGCTAAATATCTTTTCTCCTCAGCAGTTAGAGCAGTCTTTTGACTTCTATCAGTGTCCAGCAGAGCACGTTAACCACTTGCTTACTGGGCACTTTTACCCCCTTCCTGCCCAGGCCAATTTTCAGCTTTCAGTGCTGTTGAGCTTTGACAATTGCGCAATCATGCGACACTGTACCCATATGAAATTTTCCTCATTTTTTTCAGACAAATAAAGCTTTCTTTTGGTGGTGTATAATCATCACTGTTTTATTTTTTCTTTTTGCACTATAAACGAAAAAAAAAGAGCAAAATATTTGAAGAAAACAAAGTTTTTCTTTTTTTCTATTATAAAATTTTGCAAACAGGTTCATTTTCTCCATCGCTGATGTGCGTTGATGAGGCTGCACTGATAGGCAGCACTGATGGGCACTCATAGGCAGCACTAATAGCTGAACTGATGAGGCGGCACCAGTGGGAATTAATGAGGAGGGCACTGATGATGCTGCACTGATAGGTGGCAATGATGGGCACTGATAAGCGACACTGATGGGCACTAATAAGCGGCACTGACTAGCAGCACTGGCTGACAGGCAGCACTAATGGACGACACTGCTGGGCACTGATAGGTGGCACTGCTGGGCGGCACTGCTGGGTGGCACTGATGGGCACCACTGTTGGACACTTTTGGGGCTACACTGATAATCAGGGCATTGATAATCAGTGCCCTATCAGTGGATCTGCTCTGTGACACTTGCCGGCAGTACTTTTATCACGCTGTGACAGCGTGAGGAAAGTGCTGCCAATAACCGGCAACTGTATTTACTTTATAATCAGCTGTGTCATTGGACACAGATGATCACATGGTAAAAGGCCGCTGTGATTGGCCTTTTACCTTGTCATGTTATCAGCTGTATCCATAGGACACAGCGATCACAGACAGCGCCAGGGGCGCGTTCTGGGAGGACGTCATATGACGCCCTCCCAGAACTGGACAACCTTGCTGTAGCCATCATTCGGCTATAACCCGGTTGTCAAGTGGTTAAAGCTTGTTGGAGTAGTTTTCATTTTGCTCTAGGAGGATGCAGAACCCCTGACCTCTGTCTGAACATTGCTGATTGGCCCTGTGTGATCACATGCACTCGCCCAAGAAAAAAAAAACCCTCTCTAGCAATACACACCAAAATGAGCATGTGCAGAGATAAGAGGGGGACACTGGAAGAAGGGAGGATCAGAGAAGTCAGGATCAAATAGCCTATTTACACAATGCAGAGGATTAACCCCTTAGGTTCCACAGTGAGTATAACAAGCATGCTTTACTGCATATACAGACTGATTTTACTGTTGTGGGTTTAATAACACTTTAAGGTCTTATGCACACAGGGCATATTTTGCAGCCAGTTTTATTTTACCGCATCCAAGTGACTTTTTTTTTTTACTTCCTTCTGACCTCCGGAACGGATGAATTGGTTTTCAATGCATTCCTATGGGAGACCGCATTTCGGTTTATGAAGTTTTCACAATACGAAACGTCCCGGAGAACGCATTAAATTTGTAAACCGAGGTACACCTGTATTAGATAGATCTATAGGCCATGGGCATCACTTTGCTTGCTTCATTCACCAGCCAGAAAAGACTCTAGGACGGGGATCAACAACCCAGAGATTGCGATCTACCAGTAGATCGTGGCCAGGTGACTGGTAGATCACTGTCTGGGCTTGCTGACCCTCCGTCTCAGGGGATCAAACAGAGGGCAATGCAGAGGGACTACTTGTAAAGTTGAAGCTGTAGTAGGGAGTAAGAGCCACATAAGCCGATGCCTCCTCTGTAGTGCTGGCTACTGTCCCATGTGGAGTGATACCAACTGCACTCCACCTCTTATCCCGGCTAGAGGTCTCCAGTGTGGTGCCAGCAGCAGGAAAGAAGAGACCTTCAAGTCAGTGTGAAGCAATACACTGGGCATAATAGTATAGGGCTGCTTTCACATTGATGCACTGCGGTTTACCCACACCGCAAGTGCAGTGTATCGGCAGCTTTCCTGTGGGTTTGCTGCGCTTAGCCATGGAGTTCTATTTTATCCTGCGGGTTTGGTGCACTTTCTGAAAGCGCATGAAAACTCCTGAATGGAGGGTTCATTTATATTTGTAGTTTGGGGCATGGTAAAATTCCATAGTTATGATGTGTTTTTACCACCCCACCCCAACTGTACCCCCTAGCTTTAGTGGCCAGGGGTGTACACATGTCACAGCCGCAGCAGGAGTTATATGCCCTGTCATGGATGGTGAGTGTAGCACCTGCCAAGCATGACCCATTCAAGTGAATAATGCCACTCTGCAAGTGCCCTGCAACCTTGTGCAGTATAGTAAACAAGGGGTGAAAGAAGGCAGCTGCTTTAAGTCTTGGTTCACACCTATGCAGGTTGCGTTTGAGGGGTTTCTGCATTTTGGTTTTGCACTTGCATTTTTGACGTGGTTTTGATGCGTTTTGCATTTTGCAGGGTTTTTTTTTTCATTTTGTTTTTATTTTTCTTGTTGCTAGCCAGATTTTTAATGCAAAACACATCAAAAACACAAAACATGCTTTTCTGCAGCATTCCCATCCAAGTCTATAGAACCAAAAACGCAACGTTTTGTGTTCAAAAACGTCCCTGACCCTTTCCAAAACACGCACCGGGTGAAAAAAACGGAGATGTGAACCTGTCCTTTAGCAAACCCATGCTAAATGGACTGTACTGCATTTCTACAAAACGCTGCAGAAAACGCTTAGGTGTGAACCTAGGATAACCCTGTGAACCCTGCAAAAGCATGCAGTTGCAAGGCGCTTGGAGAGTTGCCCCATTTACTTGAATGGGTCATGATTGGCCACAGGGGGTTTAATTCCTGCTGCTGCATGTGTACTCCTTTGCCTGCTGCCTAAGCAGCTAAAGGGGGTAGGGATTGGGGGTGGTAAAACTGCAAATCAACCGCAGGGTGAACAAGCCTTAAGGGTGCCGCTGCCGAGTGCAACTAAGGGCTCATTCATAAGTGTTGCAGGTACTGCTGCTGCTCTGAAAAATGATCCAAGTGTGTTTGACAGATGGTGAGGGGGCAATATGTTGCCTCCACACCACCTGACTTAAATCCATAATTGCGGAATGGCCGTACAGCAATTAGAGGTTTAAATCAGTTATGAGGAGGCGACACTGTGCCTGGTGATCTTTGACTTCTCCTATGTTGTTCCGGTAGATATCCACCTCTTTAAGGTTGCCTACCCCTGCTCTAAGGTCAATGTCAGATGGGTGGCCTACCCCTGCTCTAAGCTCAATGTCAGAGGGGTGGCCTACCCATGCTCTAAGGTCAATGTCAGATGGGTGGCCTACCCCTGCTCTAAGGTCAATGTCAGATGGGTGGCCTACCCCTGCTCTAAGGTCAATGTCAGATGGGTGGTCTACCCCTGATCTAAGGTCAGTGTCAGATGGGTGGCCTACCCCTGCTCTAAGGTCAATGTCAGATGGGTGGCCAACCCCTGCTCTAAGGTCAATGTCAGATAGATGGCCTACCCCTGCTTTAAGGTCAATGTCAGATGGGTGGTCTACCCTGCTCTAAGGTCAATGTCATATGGGTGGTCTACCCCCCTCTCTAAGGTCAGTGTCAGATGGGTGGTCTACCCCTGCTCTAAGGTCAATGTCAGATGGGTGGCCTACCCCTGCTCTAAGGTCAGTGTCAAATGGGTGGCCTACCCGTGCTCTAAGGTCAATGTCAGATGGGTGGCCTACACCTGCTCTAAGGTCAGTGTCAGATGGGTGGCCTACCCCTGCTCTAAGGTCAATGTCAGATAGATGGCCTACCCCTGCTCTAAGGTCAGTGTCAGGTGGGTGGCCTACCCCTGCTCTAAGGTCAGTGTCAGATGGGTGGCCTACCCCTGCTCTAAGGTCAATGTCAGATGGGTGGCCTACCCCTGCTCTAAGGTCAATGTCAGATGGGTGGTCTACCCCTGCTCTAAGGTCAGTGTCAGATGGGTGGCCTACCCCTGCTCTAAGGTCAATGTCAGATGGGTGGCCTACCCCTGCTCTAAGGTCAATGTCAGATGGGTGGCCTACCCCTGCTCTAAGGTCAATGTCAGATGGGTGGCCTACCCCTGCTCTAAGGTCAATGTCAGATGGGTGGTCTACCCCTGCTC